ATTAGGACTTTGCTACTCTCAGATTCAGGCCAAATTGGATAAAAAAGGTAAAAAGTCCTTTGCCTCATTTAAACTTTAAGAAAACATTTTTTCCCCTGCTTACTGCTGCAATGATTCCACAAACAGAAACTTCTAATTCCTTCTGTCAACCCCAAATTTCATGACCTTATGGAAGACAAGAAAGGGACTAAATATCCCCAAAGAATGACATTTTTCCCTTCCTCTCATAGGTGAGACACCAAAATCTTCCAGAGAGGGAGATCTACCTGTAGTTGAAGTTATTTATAGGAATTGGATTTAAATATAAATCTGCCCTCTGGTAACTCCAGAAGAACTGCTACTTTGGGAGCTGCCAGCCCTGTATGTGAGGGCTGTTTTGCTTCAGTACATTGCAGACTAAATACAAATTTAGCAGGCAACAGGCAAGAAACATAAACAAGCTCTGGTATGGGTCACTGGAAGAGAGAGGCAGTATGCTGGATGGAGTCTGGCTGTGTAACATCCGCATGAGGACCAAGATGGATTGAAAATGTTCTGCTCCTAGAACATAAAATGGTGCAGCGGCTGCAGAAAACAATATGGCAATTCCTCAAAAAATTAAAAATTATTATGTGATCTAGCAATTCTACTTCTAGATGTATACCCAAAAGAATTGAAAGCAGAGACTCGAACAGATATTTGCGCACCCGTGTTCATAGAAGCATTATTCAAAATAACCAAAAGGTAGAAGCAACTCAAATGTCCATTGTTGGATGAATGGATAAACAAAATGGGATATTATTCAAGCCCTAAAAAGGAAAGAAATTCTTACGTGATCTAGCAATTCTACTTCTAGGTGTATACCCAAAAGAATTGAAAGCAGAGACTCGAACAGATATTTGTGCACCCGTGTTCATAGAAGCATTATTCAAAATAACCAAAAGGTAGAAGCAACTCAAATGTCCATTGTTGGAGGAATAGATAAACAAAATGGGATATTATTCAAGCCCTAAAAAGGAAAAAAATTCTGATACATGCTACAATATGGATGAAACTTGAGGACATTACAGCTAAGTAGAATAAGCAAGACACAAAAAGACAAATACTATATAGTATCTTTTATACAAGGTTCCTGGAGCAGACAAATTCATAGATACAGAAAGTAGACTAGTAGATACCAAAGGGTGGGGCATTATTGTTTATTAGGTATGGAGTTTCAGGTTGGGATGATGAAAAAGTTTTAGAGATGCATAGTGGTGATGGTGGCAAAACAATGTGAGTATACTTAATGCCATTGAATTGTACACTTAAAATGACTAAAATGGTAAATTTTATATTATATATATTTACCACAATAAATAAAAGTTTGAAAAATTCTGTTCCTCATTCCTATCTACATTACCTGTCTCTTCACAAATCATAGAAGAAAATCAGATTATTGCCTAAGCCAAAGCAGTCTCTGGGCCTCAGTCTCATCATCTGTGAAATGGAAGTGTTGCTGGAGAGCTCAACGTGGTGGGAATCCAAAGAGGGACTCCCACCCGGAGCTCTGGTGACCAGGTTCTTTTCTTATGCCACGAGAAAGAATTCAAGGGCACCGCAAAAAGCAAGCAGGAAAGCACAAGTTTTATTCGAGTGAAAATACACACTTAAGAGAAAAGCACAGGCAGCTCAGAAGGAGCCTGCCTTGAGCTGTCTGAATTACGGGCTTTTGTTTTCTTGGGTGTGGGGGTTGTCCCAAGGCTACTAGCCTGCCTCCTGGTCTTAGCTTGTTTTCTGTACCACCTGGAGGGGAGGAGGTAGCCCAAGGTCATCTAGCTTGTTTCTTGGCCTTGGCTTGTTTCTCATGAGATTTGAGGGAAATAACCCTTATGAAAAGTAAGATGCCCAGGACTGTATAAATGAACATTGACACCTACTAGATTTTGAGACTCTACTATAAGTCAGACATTAAATTTTTTTATTTAAAAAAATCTTTAAATTATAAAAGATTTTAAACATACAGAAAATCCCTTGAGATTTTAACTTTTTTCCACCGTTGTTATCCCCAGAGCCCAGAACAGTGCCTGTCGAACAGTAGAAATTCAATGAGTGTTTTTTAAATGGATGACTGACTTCTTATTCAAGTCTCTTCATATACAAATAAATGTTAGTTTCTCTAGGGTAGTTCCTACAAAAGGAATTGCTTCAATTCTACTGAGCATTACTAAATAGCCCACCAATTGATGCTGTCATCACCAGTGTGTAGGGTTTGTGTTTTCTCCCATCACCAGCCTTTGGTATTGTCACTTTATTTTTGCCATCTGATGGATGTTAATAGTATTTCATTGTTTTATTTTGCATTTCCTTGATTATTAGTGAGGTTGGACATTATTCTTTAGGCTTTTTTGACTGGCATATACATATCCTTTGCTCATTTTTCTACTGGGTTATCTTTTTCATATCTTGAATATTAACCATTTGTTAATATTTTACAAATATCTCCTTGTCTTTGGCATATATTTTCTCTTTATGGTATGCTTTTTTGACCAGAAAATTTCATTTTAATGTTTCCAAATTTATCAGTATTTTCCTTTATGATTTGTATGTTATGTGTCTTATTTTAAAAATCATTTCCTACCCTGAATTGATATAGACATTCTCTTTTATTATCTAAAAGTTTTTAAATTAACTTTTAATTTGGAAATAATTTCAAACTTACAAAAGGTTGCAAAAATAAAAATAGTAAAAAGAACACTCATACACTTTACCCAGATTGACCTAGTATTAGCATTTTACCCCATTTTTTATCATTTGATATGTATTATATATAAAATATCATATGTAATATGTATAATATATATATATTTTCTGAACTATTTGAAGGTGTTACATACATTATGGTGCTTTACAGTTAAACACTTTAGTGTATATTTCCTGTAAATAAGGATATTCTCTAACTACAGTAATCAACTTCATAAATTTACATTGATAAAACGCTTTTATCAAATCTCTCATTTAGATCCCTATTTTGTCTGTTGATAGATTTGATGTTGGTGTTCTTCATAGCATTTTTATAACCTTATAAATCCTATACCTTTATAGAAGTTTTTAAAACCCTATAGTGCAGGATCCAAACTACGAGTATGTATTACATTTAATTGTCATGTCTTTTTAGTGTCCTCTAATCTGAAACAATTCCTCAACCTTGATTTGTCTTTTTATGATATTGACATTTTTGAAGAAAACAGTCCCTGTTTTAGTAAATGTCCCTCATTTTGTGTTTATCTGATATTTCCTCATGATTAGATTGATGAAATGGATTCTTGGCTGGAACACTGTATAGATGCAGTATTGTGCAGTATTGCATCCATGTAGTATTATATAGATGTAGTTTTGCGTCTTTCTCAGAGTATCATATCTGGAGGCACACTATATCTATCCGCTCTCAGTGGTTAATTTTGATCATTTAGTCAAAGTGTTGCCCAATTTTTCCAAAGCTTTTTTCCCCCTCCTACCAACTCATAAGCAATCTGTAGGGAGACACTTTAAGACATGAAAATAACCTACTCCTCAGCAAAATTTCTCTCTAGCTTCAGCATCTATTGATGATTCTTGCCTGATCCAATTTTTGCCATGATGATTAAAAAGTGAATCACTTAAAAGTTTTTGAGCTGTGTTTTTATGCATGTCTTTAACCTGGAATTGATTTTGTATAGTGTGAGCTGGGGATCTAATCTTATCTCCTCCCTCACCCTCCCACATGGCTAATCAGTTCCATTTGTGGAATAGCTCATTCTTTCCCCACTGGTGAGAAATGTCCAGTTCTCCATACATCAAATTTGCTGGGTGTGTTTCAGTGCTATCTCTTCTGTCCCATTGGTCTATTTGTTTATCTCTATACCAATACTATAGTATCTTAGTATTATAGCTTTGGGATAAATTTTGATATATGATAGCACAAGTAGCCCATCATATTCTTCTTTAAAATTATCTTTCGTTTTTGTCATCTAGGCAATTATATTTCATTGTTACAAATAACTTTCACATAAACATCCAAGAGTTTAAGCAATTTTCCCAAGGTCACAAAGCCAGGAACAAAGATTTTATACCCAGGTCTCCCCAAGACCAGAGCTCTTTGTTATTTCCTGGGGTTCTGCCTTCCCAAGGCCTAACCAATATTCTAGGCATGAAGTAGTGGAGGTCAGAGGATCAAGTGCGGACAGGAGATGGACAGGTAGACTGGTTTGGGTTTGGTCTCTGGGGTATAGACTTTGCTTGTCAAGAAATGGGGCTTGAACTTGGCTGACAAAACTGGCAACAGAAGATTGAAGGGAATGGGACTGAGAGAATTCTCACTCCAGAACTGATCACTCTCAGGTGTCCATGGGCTTTACATACTGAGCAGGGTAGTGTTGTAGCAGCCTGAAAGGGGAACCAGCAGTTGCTTTTATGTTGGGGGTTGTGCGTGGTAGGGGTGGGAATGGGTTGGCAGGCAAGGAGGGAAAAGAATTCGGTTGACTGCCACTCCAGGGCATCCCATCCTCCACCAGCCCCTCCCTGACTGATTATGGGGCCCTAATCAGCTTGGGGAGATTAAGG